CACTCGACTTTCTGTTTAGCCTATATCTGCCGGGAATTCCCGGCTACCAAGTCTGACTCCTTGGTTAGAGCAGGCGACCTCCCAACTTGGGCTAAAGTTGAAAGGTTGTGCTATTTTTTTAAAGTAGAAGCTTTACTGGAATCTGAACCAGGCCGGGAAGGAGTCTCCTAAAGCACAGATATCCCCGCGCGCCCCCTCTCAGCACCCCACGCACTCGACTTTCTGTTTAGCCTATATCTGCCGGGAATTCCCGGCTACCAAGTCTGACTCCTTGGTTAGAGCAGGCGACCTCCCAACTTGGGCTAAAGTTGAAAGGTTGTGCTATTTTTTTAAAGTAGAAGCTTTACTGGAATCTGAACCAGGCCGGGAAGGAGTCTCCTAAAGCACAGATATCTGAGCCCACTCTCCAAAGCAGGCCTCCTGCAAGACCACCATGGTCAGGTTCCCAATATGTAGATGAACAGAGGAAGGGCCCAGAGAAGTGACTTGTGGAAGGACACACAGGACCTAAAAGCAGCTCTCTCTGTGCGCCCAGTGCCCCATGCAGCTTTATCGGAGCCTAAAGGAACCCTCCTCTCCCAGCCCTTTGTACACTCCAGCCCCTGGCCTTCACAGCTAACTCTGGAATGGACTCAGGAGACTGAACAACTTGGAAAAAGGAGTGGAGAAGGGGGCAGGGAGATGAAGGCAAGAGGAGCCGGGAAACCGGGGCGGGGCCTCTCCGGGAACCTGCACACGTGTACCACCACCACCCGTTCCTCTGACCTGGTGAAGGCTAAGGTAAGCCTCAGGAAACACAAACTCAGGCTGAAAGGAGTCAGCCTCCCACTTCCCTGTGAAATGGCCTTGTGCTTCAGATGCAGTGGGCCAAGTTAGTCTAGTTGGAGAGTGCCAGCGACCCGCCTCTAAACAGAGTTTCTGCTGGCAGCCCCAGTCCAGCCAGAGTTGCCTGCAAACCACCAGGGCTGGGGTTGGGACTGGGGCCTTAGAGATGGACCGCTGCCTTTCTCAGGTCTGCTCCAAACAACATTAGGACCTCACAGGGAACAGGTGAGACTAACAGCTGGGACACCTGCCCCCTAGAGGCTGAGGACCCTGGCTGGGAAAGGTGAGTCAGTCCAGTGGGGACAGGGAATCAGGATCTGCAGATCGAGTTCTACTTGCCCCGCCGCCCCACCCCCAACCCCCATGTCAACTGAAGAAAACCTGGACCCGATTCCTGACAGCTTCATCCTGCAGCCGCCCGTCTTTCACCCGGTGAGCAGCTAGCTGCCTGATCTGGAACATTCCAGGTCTCAGGGCGCCTCCCTTCCAGCAGGGCCCAGGCTCTCCCCTGGGGTGGTGGGATGGAGAGGGCCTCAGACTTGGGCCCTGCTTGCCCTAGTACTTGTCCAGAGTTCTAGAAGCTCAAAATGACATGTGAATGATTGCTAGGCTCCAAGGATCCGTGCATTTTTTCGCATTGATAAAGCCCAGAGACCCAATACTGTTGCCTTTTACAAGAAGGGTGGAGGATTAGGTGGGATTGTAGAAGAACAGCCTCTTCTCCAAACAAGAAGGAAGGGCCTGGAACCCTCCCAATCAGAAATAGAGAGGGGTAGGGGGGTTCTTCTCTCTCTCCTCCTGTTCAGTGCCCAGGAGACTCTGAAACTAGGCAATGCTTTATAGAAGGCTGAACTCCCAGAAAGCACTACCACTAGTGAACACTAATTATTACTTTCCCATGCTTGGTGCTCTCCACTCTCAAGGGCTGTATCAGCTTAATTACATACCCTGCCAGGAGCCTGGGAACTTGAAACCACTGGACTACTGAGCCCTCCCACACTGCAGGCGTTCTGCCATGTGTGGATCCTGGCCACTGGCACTCACCTCTGGCTTCACAGGCTGGGATCTGCCGCCCAGAGGGTTCCTTCTGGGTGGTTTAAACTTTCTGATTGCTGCTGGGAATTGGAAAGCAGTCCATGAAAGCCGATGTGACATTGCCAAGGAGCACCTGATGTTCTGTTCCCGTTCCTTCTGCAGAGCCCACATGGTCCAGGGGAGGTGCTGAGCAGAACGAAAGGGAAGTCAGGTCTCCAGTTTTGAGGGGCTGTGGGCTCTGGGGGAAAACAGCCAGCCACCTCCTCTATATTAGGGGCCTGGAGCCAAGTCACTCTTGTGAGTAAAGTGGTCTGAGAATTCAAGGATGGGAAGGAATAATTCAGACACCCAAGTGGATGATGCTTGGAGGAGTCAGGATGGAAGGAGAAAAAAGAGTGGAGGGGAAAGGCCCCAGGAAGGGGAAGGGGAAGGGTGCTGGAAAGTGTGTGCGTGTGTGTGTGCATGCGTGCAAGGGCAGGCAGGGAAAGATGACCCTGGAGGGTGGCTGACCACACCAGAGTCAGCTCTGTTCCCGACTTCTCCGTTCCTTTCTCCTTCCAGCTCCTAGATGCTGGCCATAAATCAGTCCTCAGAAGCTTCCATTCCAGGCTTCTTGGGACAAGGATGGCATCTAGTGAGTGCCAAGCCTCAATGGGACATAGCAACCTATTGTGCCCTAGCTGATTGGTGCTCTGAGGGGTCAGTGGAGCTGGATTAGGTTTTGAGAATTGTGATAGCCAACTTGATAGGATTTAGAATCACCTTGGAATCAAGTCTCTGGGCCTCTTTTAATGAGATGGGAAGGCCCACCCTAAATGTAAGTGGTACTATCCCATTACCGGAGGTCCTGGACTGAATTAAAAAGGAGAAGGCTAGCTGAGGACCAGAAGCCACTGCTTCTTACCTGTGGGTGCAGTGTGACCAGCAGTCCCTACTGCCGTGACGTCCCCAGTCTGTACCCTTTCTTTCTTAAGTGGCTTTGTCATTGTGCCAGAGCAGTGCATAGAGTAACAAGAATATGCCGGAGAAAACGGATTTTCTTCTACAAGGACATTTTCTGTTTAGTGTAGGTGTATCAGTCGCTTTTTCTTGTTGCTATGACAAGATGCCTAACACAAGCAACGTAAGGAACGAGGGCTTACTTGAGCTTACAGTCCTAGAAGATACAGTCAGTCCATCGTGGCAGAGAAGGTACAACAACCAGAGCACTCTGCGGCTAGTGCTGTTTACAGGAGTCCACAGTCAAGAGTCAAAGAGTAAGGATTAGAGTTAAAAGCACCGCTCTTAGGCCAGCCAGCTGTGGCTACAGGGAGACCTTGTCTCAAAAAGACCAAAAAAAAAAAAAAAAAAAAGAAGCACTGCTCTTGCAGAGGACCTGGGTTTGGTTCCCAGCCATCCACATGGCTGCTAAACCTGTCCTTAACTCCAGTTTCAAGGGATGTGACGCTCTCTTCTGGCTTCCACCAGCATTACATGACACAGGTGCACTTTACATGCAGGCATAAAAACCCATACACAGAAAGTAAATATATATATATGCATATGTATATTTGGTCTTTTTGAGACAGGGTCTCCCTGTAGCCTTAACTGACCTGGAACTCACTATGTGGACCAAGCTGGCCTTGAATTCACAGAGGTCTGCCTGCCTCTGCCTCCCGAGTGCTGGGATTCAAGGTGTGTGCCACCACACCCAGCGTAAAAAGTATTTTTTTCAAAAGAATCAGAGGAGCTAGAGAGATGGCTCAGCAGTGAAGAACACTGGTTGTTCTTGCAGAAGACCCAGGTTCAAATCCCAGCACCCACACGGCACCTAACAACTTTCCATAACTCCAGTCCCAGGAGATCCAACAGCCTCTTCTGACCTCCACGGGCTTTGCATAGCATGGGTGCACTTACCTACATGCAGGTAATACACGCATACACATAAAATTTTTTAAATGAATAAAATTAAAAAAAAAAAGAATCAAAGAGCACTGAATGCTTGTACCCAGCTGGCTTTCTCCTTTTCATTCAGCCTGTGGAAAGGTGCCACCAACATTTAGGGTGGGTCTTCCCATTTCAGTTAACTTAATCTAGAAAATCCCTCACGACCCTGTTCACAGATTTGTTTCCATATTGTTTGTAAATCCCAAATTGATAATCAGGATTAACCATCCCAGAGGGGAAGTTGTTTTCCTGTTCTTTCTCTCCACCCACCCTTACGCCCACCACTGCACCAGGGGGTTCCTAGTCCTGCTTCCAACCTGCAGGCACCATTTCTCCCTTTGTTCAGGTGGTTCCATATGTCACAACAATTTTTGGTGGCCTACGTGCAGGCAAGATGGTCATGCTGCAGGGTGTGGTCCCTCTCCATGCACGAAGGTAAGAGGGGATTGCACAGGGCTTGCTAGAGCTCAGATTCAGAAGCTTCAAGCTGGGGCTCCTCTCTGCCTTGAAGATCTCTGTGGGTCTCTGACCAGAAGCGCATCTCAAAAGTCTCACACCCCAACCAGATTTCAGGTAGACTTCCAGTGTGGCTGCTCCCTCTATCCCCGGCCAGATATTGCCATCCACTTCAACCCTCGCTTCCACACCATCAAGCCCCACGTCATCTGCAATACCCTCCAAGGTGGACTCTGGCAAAAAGAGGTCCGGTGGCCTGGCCTCGCCCTACAGAGAGGGGCAAGCTTCCTCATCCTCTTTCTCTTTGAGGATGAGGAGGTGAAGGTAAGTGGAAGGGGTAGGCATGGAGGGGTCTAGAGCTTGCATTCTCCTACTCCTTCCCTCAGCCAATTTTCCATGTTGTTGTGATGAATGGCACTGTGGGGAGAGGAGTAAGGGGCTACCCTGGGACTATGTAGCTGCAAGCAAGCTCTGTGGTTCCTGGTTCTAGCAAGGGTTCCACTGCTGTGGTCGTAGTAAGCATTTAGAAGGTACTTGCTGGATGCTGGGCATTGTGCTAAACCCTCTAAGTGTGTCTACTCATTAAATCCTCCTCTCAAGCTCTAGGGTGGGTACTTTCATGATCCCCCATCTTACAGCTGAGGCAGGAAGCAAGAACTTGCCCTCCAGGCTTTGATCTCTGGTATCTCTTCTGCCAGAAGGTTGAAGACACAGCTCCCGAGGAAAAGGCAGGAGGGGAAGCTCTGAGGGATACAATTTATCTTTCAGCTTCTTAAGCCTCAGTTTTCTGATCGATGATGATGATGGTGATGATGACAATGACAACCCAGGTTGGCTAATAAGGGAAGAGCTTTGTCACAGGTAGAGGAACATGGAAGGTGCCCTGGTCCCAAAGATCAGCCCTGCCATCTTCCAGCTCCATGACCTTTGGCAGGTTACATAATTGTATCTGAACAATGCACCTGCCTTACACACTTTGCGTGAAACCAAATGAGTAAAATCCAGGGATGCCCCAACCCGTGGAGCAACAGCGTGGGGCACCAAGACTGAACCTGGAGGAATGAATAGACAGGGGGCACGAAGAAATGGAGACAAGACAGTATTCTGATCAAGTCTCATTTACTGAGCAATCACACAATGTTAATATAGTAAAGTGGAGGGTGGGGGAAGGTAAAGGGCGGAGACAAGGCAGGGGGAGTGGAAGGCGGCAAGGCCCTGCTGGGGAATTTCTACTACAGTCATGAGCCTTGTTGGTTTCACAAGATAAGGAAGTAAAATGTAGAAAAAAATCAGGGCAAGAAAAACATGTTTTTACAAGGCCACCTGGTTGTTTCAAACTGGGGCAGGGGTACACTTAAGACTTGGCCTCCAACATAGATGGGTACGTAGATAGATAGACAGATATAG